GTCTCTCAGGGTATGTCTACACTTGCAGCCTAATTCGAACTAGGGCTGCAAATATAGGCATTCGGAATTGCAAATCAAGCCCAGGATTTAAGTATCCCATGCTTGATTTGCATCTTCCCGGCTGGGGGCCATTTTTGACATTTACAAGCCCGAAGTAATTGCCCGCGTCTACACACGGCAGTGAAACGGGCGTTTGAAATAAAGCCCTAGTTCGAACTACCTGTTATTCCTCCTGCAATGAGGTTTAACAGGCAGTTACTCTGGGCTTGTAAATTTCAAAATGGCTCTTGGCCGCGAAGATGCAAATCAAGCAGGGGATATTTAAATCCTGGGCTTGATTTGCAATTCCGAATGCCCACATTTGCAGCCCTAGCTCGAAATAGGCTGGAAGTGTAGACATACCCTCAGTCTGGACCAACCCTCCAGTCCTGATAAGACAGGACACAGAAATTCATGCAAGGTATCTCATCTTATAGAATTTTTTTCCCATTCAGGTCATTACATTTTGCTGCATCAGTTTTTAATCAATCACCATCCATGCTGTTTATCTGGGAGTTATTCTTTACTCTGATATCAGTATGTTGGTGGTTCCTTCCCACTATTATTTCAAGGCTGTCCTGTTTGTAAGAGTGCTTGCTTTTAACACTTCACGGCTATCCATAATGTCCTGCTTTGTTTCGGGCCTCTATTCATGGTACCTTGATGCCCCTTCTCCAAGCACATTCCAAACTCATTCACTCTCTCACCCCAGGAACTACACAACCATTTCACATATGGGAAAAGGGATACAAATGTCCATACAAAAGGTATCAATCTCTTTCAATATAAAGAATCATTCATCATATTTTCTTTCTAACATAATATATTTTCTAATTACAAGCAGTCCCCAACTTACGCAGCTCCGACTTACGTCGGATCTGCAGTTACGAACGGGGTTCGCCCCGGAGGACACGGACTGCGGGACCTTGTGGTCCTGCCGCCCGTGTACTCCGGGGCTTTCTCCGCGTCTCCCTGGTCTGCAGACCAGGAAGACGCGGAGCAAAGCCACGGAGGGGCTTGGGCACGGGACAGCCCAGACGCGCCGTGGCTGTCCTGCTGCCCTCGGGCTCCATGGCTTTGCTCTGCTTTGCTCCCCGTCCCCCTGGTCTGCAGACCAGGGGGACGGGGAGCAAAGCGGCAGAACACGCGGGCAGCAGGCAGCCCAGACACGTCTGGGCTGTCCGCGTGCTCCGGGGCTTTGCTCTGCTTTGCTCCCCGTCCCCCTGGTCTACAGACCAGGGGGACGGGGAGCAAAGCGGCGGAACACGCGGGCA